TCCCCCCTTTGTGTCTCCCTTTATTTCCCCCCTTTGATTTTCAGGGACTCGTTTGGTTCATCAATCAGCCTGTCTGGATGTGTGTGTGTTTGAAACCCATGCTGCACATAATTCCTATAATTTGTGGATTTTTTTTCTTCTTCTTCCCCTTCCAGATAGCCCATTATTTGTGCTTGTTACTTCTGAAGCTAACAGTCATCTCACCTAAATCCCCCACCCTTCCACCCTGTAGATGAATGAGCCCTGTAGCTGAATGCTAGACACCCCGACGATCTCCAGCAAACACATGTAGAATTATAGTAGTATAGTAATACAGTGATCATAGTTGTTGGCTTAATAGTGCTGGGGTGCTAAACTTTGAACAATATGTAGCATTTTCTGTCACACGTTGTGTACTTTGTTTTTATAGTTGTATATATCGATAGCACTGTTGAGAGACGTCTTCCGGCCATGAGCTGGGAAGCAGGCAACCCGTTCTCCTTGTCCTACCAATTAAGAGAACATGTCAGAATAAAGCAAGTCAAAGACTTGAGTTACACTTACAAGTGCGCTTCCTTTTTTTTTTTCAAGAGGAATTACACTTCAAACCCATCGGTTTACCGCTTCCCATCCCTCCCTGAGAACTGTTTTTGTCAACATCCATGTCAGTTAGCAACATGTTAAACAAATCAACTCTGAAGACAGAGCTGCCTTGTGATTTTGGTTTTAAAAACTATGATAAGAAGCACAAGTAAAACGGCAACAGTGCTAGCAGCATAACATATTCAAAGCAACGAGGCAACCGATGTTCTCCACTTCAGCACATCAGAGGCGTGCGTCCCTGCATCAGTCGCCCTAAAGGTACCCGTTTACAAAGTGATAGGGCTTAGGGTTTTTAACTCGGGGCGAGAAGCTGATTTGAAACCCCCTCCGCTGCCAAGCACATGGACGACTGCTGATTAGAAGAGGGTTGGCAGCAGTGGGCAGATGCCAGGCGGAGAGAGAAAGATGACGGCCTGTCGCCAGTCTGCCACCCAACCCCTCACCTCCCCCAGCTGCCCCCTCCCCTAATGACCCCTCCCCCATTGTACAAAAAGAAGGGACCAAAGACATTTCAGCGACAAACCCGGATGGGGGATGGGATGGATTGTACCAGCGCTTTGTATCAAAATGCAGCAAATGTGCACAGACATGCAAAGACATGAAACATTCCTCCATTTTTTTTTACAGATATACATGTTTGATCATATGAAGCTGTCCATGAGTCAAGACTAAGTTACACATCTTCACGCCCCACACAAACATAACACTGTGAAAGTTGGGGATTCTGAAAACTCATTTTGCCAACTCATGGAGGATAAAACAATTTTCAACTTTCTGGGGTGTTTCGAAATTCAGGAGAGTAAATTGTAATTTGTAGCATAATAACCTCACTCTATATAAAACAATTCAGGAGTGTTTCAAAGTCAAGAGCAAAAGATATGAACTGATTTTGGAGGTGGAATCAGTCAATGAACTGTTCCAATAAGTGCCAACAGGGCGCAGGCAGTGGTTACTGTGAACAAAGCTCTGTCAACCTTTAATCATACACAGTATATTGATTTCAGAGCAGCTCAATATGACTCTATAACTAGTCCCATTTCTCTGTGATCTGCTGCACTGTTAGTCATGCACCTAAAGCCGTGCATAGTTGGAGTGTTAGACACACGGGCATTTACACATTTACCCCGCTCCACCCCCCATTCGCCCCCAAATGCATTGACATAATTAAAATGCGAACCGCCGCCAGTAATGTAGGTTGATGAAATGCAGAAAGGCCACAACAGCTGTATTTCAAAGCTTCAAACCTCAAAGCTGCACGCACAATCTCTAATCAATATTTATTTAGTGATATGTGTAATGAGGAAAGAGCATGACATCAAAACCATACCTTTTAACATTTCAACTTAACTCCGGGTAAAAGGGTCAGGCATTTAGCGATCACCAATGTAATAAAAGCAACTCTACCAGTTTGATATTATTCCGTGGTAAATTATTTTGGGAGAAAATAAATTAGAAATCAATATATGTTTCCTTCAATTGTGAAGGATGACGTTTTTCATCCAAAGATTATGGAGTTAAATAAAGTAATCAAAGGTAGAAAAACTTGACATTAGTTAATTACTGGTGCTGATTTTCATTTTAACCAATATCCCGAGTCAAATAATGTGAGGTAACCTCTTGCACTGTGACTAACGGAATGGGGCAAAAGAAGGATTTACAGATAATCTACACTTTTTATAAAAGCCTTGATAATTAAGTAAAAATCCTTCTTGACATTCAAGCTCATCAATGTTTATAAATCATTACCACTCACTCACTCACTAACTAACATCATCAATATAAGTGTGTTACACCATATATTTATAAACGGTGTTGAGAGTGAAAATAGCTCAATCATTTTAGTCTAATTTGGCTGTGGTTATGCAGGACGGGGCGTCTCTGTGACCCTACATCTACATGTCTTCATCTCTGTCCGTCTGACCTGATGCTTCATCTGTCTGCCTTACTGTCGCTATACTCTCAATACTGACTTCATCTGTCAGTCGCTCTGTCTTCCTTGTCTTTCTGACTGCCTGTCTATCAATGCCCCCCCATCTCCTTTATCTCCTATATCAGCCTGGAACTGCTGAAATAACTTTAAAACATCTTAAAATACACACCTTAACAAACCGACAGGTGCACTTTCACACTGACAACATGCAGAGGCTGCATTTAGAAATTTGCATGAACACTTAAATACAATGAATATGATTATATTTAATGACAAACACAAAAAAAGCTATCCATGCATGCACGCACGCACACACACGCACACACACACAGTAGAGGTACAGCACTGATGTCGACCCTCTGGTCTGTGTATAGTGGAGACAGTGCCCCCTGGTGTGAGCCAAGCAGTACTCCGAGTCACCCACATCTCTAGCCAGTCCATGCTGAGAGGACTTTAATTTGCTCTTCTGGGATTGATTAGTCTTGTCTGAAACAGAGAAACCACCTTTATCTTCCTCAACAATACAAACCATTCCCTTAACAGAAGACAGACTATTGCAAATAATAGAAGGTACAATATATAATCAGTGTCTCCAAAAGATGTGAAACTTACTTAGGCTTTAATGTTGATATCTCAGTAACCAGCCTGACTTTCCAAGCATATCAAATCAGATGTTATGTTTTGTAGCCGCGTGAATATAGTTCAATAGTATTAGTCAAAGATAAGAACAATTTATTAGATGTAAATTGGTATAGAGTATTTTCAAATATTTTAATATAGTTTTTTGGTTGATATGTGTTGTTTGAAAATTAATTAAAAAAAGAATACAGCAGTTGGATTGATAAACAACAACCGAGATGTTTCATAAAAGGTGTATTTAATTCACCTGAGTGTGCTGGTCGTGCTGTGTACATTACAAGACAAGAACATGGTCTAATAAAACTGCTTTATACAAACATTAAATATGTTGTGATAACAAGACATTACGTTAGACAGTATGTCATAGTCTGTCAGGTCTACTTTCTCCTTTCAATAGTCTAAAATGGAAAAGTTCACGCGGTTTTGTCTGTAATGATCACGGGACATTGTGTATAAATGATCAAAACTAAAATATATCAATATTACTTGTGGGCTCCTTTTTGTATTATAACACACGCAATAAAGTCATTAGTCATTCCTGCTAGCAGGCGAGCTGTATTGCACCTATTCAAATTGGGCTGTTGTTGTTTACAACACTGTCCGACCACACTGCAGTAGAGGAACAAGCACCTGATGGATGAACACGTTCACGCCGATGAATACTGATGAGGAAGACTGCCAGGCCCCTCTTCATCCCGGGAGTTGCCACCTTGACTGCCCGTTTCAAAACCGCTGTCACAGCTTCGGGTTTCCGGCATGCTGTGCTGTATCGCTTGTCTCCAACAGAGGTCATTACGCCTGTAATCACAGTAATAAAGGACGGGGGGGGGGGGGGCTGTGCCCCGTTTCTCATCGCAGAACAGTCCCAAAGTGGGTTCAAAGTTAACGCGACAGTGTGAGACAACTGTGTTCCCGAACACTGAGTGCAGAGTGCATGCCCAAAGACTGTCAACGTGTCCACTGCCATGCGGCACATGGACGGGTAGTGGTACTCATGTCTGTATAGAGGGAGCGTGCCCCCCCCCCCCCCCCTCCTCATGCAACTACGATCACCACCAGCCTCATTATTCCCGACGAATGTGATCGTATTAATAAGGAATGAGTGTATTTGAGGTGCGCTCAAACGAAGGAGCCGGATACGCCTCCGACAGACCAGAACGCGCACTTCCTGACGAGCGCGCTCGCTCATCTGTGCTCGCAATACGTATACGTGGATGCGTCCTGCGTCTGGTGGATTGATTTGCGTAATAGCCAGCTGCAAGTGGAGAGCGCTGACCGTTTTGCACTTCCCCTCTCTCTCTCTCCCTCTTTCTCCCCGCTATATCCCCCTGTCCTGTGCAGTTTGTAACACGTGCAGTGGCAGTTTGTGCGCGCACAGATGTGCAAGTTTGGATCACACAAGACGCCGGGTGCCGCTATAAAGCCGACCTTAGCAGCGAACTAAATAATTTACGCAACGGCACAAAAATGTTTGATTAAACTGGCCGAACTAATCGCGGAACTACGTCTCTTTATCTGCCTGCCAGACGTAACAAACAATGCATTGTTTCGCCATAATGGAGTTGAATTTCAAATGAATTCATTCATGTTTCCCCGAAATAATTGACTAAAGCAGCAGATCGCATCTGTGGACAAAGGAATTGGCATTTGCAACAGTTGCTTTTGTACATCACCCACTTGCTAGATTTGTCTGATTTTCTGTAAAAAAAATAAAAAAAAAACATCAACAACTGTGGTCCCCTACTTTTTGCAGTGTGGAGCCTTGGTTTTTGTTCCGAGGCTCCACATCTATTTGGCAGAAAGGGGGCGGGGATGGGATATTCAGATGAGCTGGAGTGACAGCTCCAGTTTCCCCCAATGCTCTGTGTGACTGAAACTCCACTGGTTCCTTCCCACCTAACTCCTCACTTCATAGTGCTGCGTACTAAAAACATCGGACGCTAGGGGATCAAGACGCATGCCACATTGCCTCTATGTGGGCACTTTAACAGATCTTTCGGGCTTTTTTTTCTCCCCAGTAAGGGGGCTGCGGAGGGAGGACTTTTTCATTTGAATTCTCTGATGACTGTTTGCATGGCCGATTATTGAGTTGATTGTTTATTATTTTGGCTGCTGTTTGATCGCCGCCCTGCGCGTTTTTTTTTTCTTCCCCCCCCCCTCCTATTTTTTCGGAATCGGCGACCTATTCCGCGCTCACCAATGTCCTATCCTCAGGGTTACCTCTACCAGCCTCCGGGCTCGCTGGCTCTTTACTCCTGTCCGGCTTACGGAGCCTCGGCTCTGGCCGCCCCGCGCAGTGAGGACTTGGCGAGGTCGTCCTCCGGCTCAGCCTTCAGTCCTTACCCGGGATCGGCTGCTTTCTCCGCCTCGGCTGGTGCCGGTTTCTCCAGTCCGCTGTCATACTCCACGGATCCAACTGCGGGATTCCCATCCTACATGGTAAACATAGATTCGTGTGTGGTTCTGTATAAATAGGCTCAAGCCGAAATATAATTGTCGGCGAGTATACAAGTCTGGAAGTGAAGTGCGCAAAATGTGCAGCTTTCTTTCGCTGGATATGAATGTGCAGAGCTTGAAATGCTCGTGTTATGACTCAAACATCAGCAAGTACTTGGGAACTTTTATTGGGTGCACGGTTTCTGTACCTCTAAATCCAGTGGCCTTTTATTTTAAACCGAGTTAATTTATTTGACTAGGAATTTAAATGCATGCTGCAAATCGCAATGGCTCGAACCAACGCTAAACACCGCTTTTATTTTCGGTCTTTAGCCTCCAAGCCTCCAAGCAGTTCATTTGTGTGCGATGGGAAATAATAAAACAAGTCATTACTCTTCATTCCTCGGCGGTCATTAAATTCACCAATGGATGAAGTCGCTGCTTTTTTTCTGCGTTGAAAAAACGGATTTTTAACATGAAAAGCAAGACTTGCAATGCTAATGTCACAGGGCACTTCAAGCGTTTTATGAAAGGTGCATTGCAAGTGATTTGCTAATGGGATTTGTAATGCTGCAAAGAGAAGATATGTTAACACATCGCGGCTGCCACCAAACGAAAAGCAGCCACTGCAGAAAATGAGGTATAATAATGAGTTAATGGGCGATTAAGGAAAATTGAAATTTCATTTTTATTATTTTAACAGCTTTATTAACAGGATGCCTGTTATTAGTGCATCTGATAATGATCATAACCATTAGTTTACTATTATTTTGTGCTTTTTTTGCGGCCTGCTTTTACGCACCGTATCGTTCTTGGATTTTAGTGGGATTTAATTTAGAGATTAGCTTTGACAAATTGTTAAAGCTCAACATTAAAAATTGATTGTTTGCTTTAATCAATACGTCCGCACCAAGCCCAGGTGATTTATACTAATTTGGGATAAGATCAAGCGGTGCATTTAAATGACTCTTTGGCCCTGTTTAACTGTTCGCACAGGTTCTCAAAAACAAATGACTGTTGTATTTTTGATAAAGTGCTCTTTTTTTAAATGATTTGAAATGACGTGAGGTGCTTTCGTTAGACATAAACCACATTAATGTCACACTTAAATTAGAACAACATTTTAAACAACAATGGAAAACACATGGTTTGACTTTTTCAACTTTTCCCCCAGAGCTCTCCATATGACGCGCAAACATCAGGCATGGCGGGGGCTTTGAGTTACCACCCATACGGGAGTCCGGGGTACCCCTACCAACTCAACGACCCGGCTTACCGCAAAAACGCCACCAGGGACGCCACGGCCACCCTAAAAGCCTGGCTGCAGGAACACAGGAAGAACCCGTACCCGACCAAGGGGGAGAAGATCATGCTGGCCATCATCACCAAAATGACACTGACGCAGGTCTCCACGTGGTTCGCCAACGCCAGGAGGAGGCTCAAGAAGGAGAACAAGATGACATGGGCGCCCAGGAATAAAAGCGAGGACGAGGACGAGGAGGACGGCGTCGGGGAGAGGAAAGAAGTGGAGCATTCAGAAAAAAACCTAGAGAACAGCGAGGCTTCCGCGGAGGATGAAGGTGGGGTATAATCTGGCGACCGAGCCGATGATCCATTTAACATTACGGGGTGGGCTTAGGTGGACTGAAGGGACGGATTCCCCTTTCATCATGATGTTTTGTGGAGTAGTTTTGAGTAAAAAAAAGGAAACGAAAAATCTAGACTATGTAATTAATAATTCATACAGACATGCAAATAATTTGAACGTATATTTTTTATCTCCAAGAGCTGGCTCCATGTTGTTTTAGTAAGCGTGTTGATATATATAAATATATATAATCTCATGAAAACCAGTTTTACACATGTCAAGTTACTGTCAACGTTTAATTTTCTTTTAACCTGATTAATGGCAGATAACTGGAAAGGTACACATAGCATCCACAGCCTTAATGTTTAAGTTATTATCCTGGTGATTTTTTTTATAATTATATAAAATAAGAAAATAATTATTGGCTTCACAGGAGGTGATTTTAATTGTATCCTACTATTTAAATTGATCTGACTAATGCTATTAATTAAGTTAACACTGGTTGGTTGTAAAACATTATTGATTTCGTTGAACACACATTGACATGGGCTAATTCAATACAAAACAAGGTGGATTTTGTTAATTTATTTCATAGCTTTTGTATTTTTTTTTTTAAATTTATTTTCAAATATGTCTCATTATTGGAATAGAGTATACAGTCATCATTGGGTCGTCAGCTTTTCCTGTAACAACCCCTTGGATTATTCTCAATACTCCAATCATTATTGTGGTTTTACTCCTCCTCTGCCAGGTATCAGCCTGCACGTTGACACGCTAACGGACCACTCCTGCTCGGCCGAGTCTGACGGGGAGAAGGTCAGCTGTCGCGTGGGGGAGCTCGGCTCCGACCAGGTCGGCAACAAACGCGACGAGGACGGCGACGACCGGAACCACGAACCGCAAGCTCAGCTCTCACCCATATCCGTCACATCGTCGCCTCTAACGGGAGTAGAAGCTCCACTTCTTAGCCATCACCACCACCAACAGCACCACCACCACCACCAACAGCTCCATCATCTCCACCAGCTCCATAGCCAGCACGAGGATTTGGCCCGGGGCCTCATCAATAACACCATCAATACCAATAAATCGTCTCCCTGCCTCGATAGCAGACCTTCACCACAGAACCCTACAGTCAAGCCCAAATTGTGGTCGCTGGCGGAAATTGCTACCTCGGACCAAAAGCAGCAGCATCAGCAAGTGGGGCCCAATTGCCCCTCCTCCAGCAGTGGCCTCCTCACCCCCCCTACGTCTTCCGCCACCTCCCCGGCTGCCAGTTCCCCCTCCCTCTACCCGGCCCCGTCCATCCTCGGAAGACCTATTTATTACACGTCTCCCTTTTATAGCAATTACACAAACTATGGCAACTTCAGCCCCCTGCACGGCCAAGGGATCCTGCGGTACACTAATTCATCGGGAGTGAGTCTGGCCGCCGCTGCCGCCGCTGCCGCCGCAGCCGCCGCCGCCGCCGCTGCCGCAAACGAGGGTCTGAGCTCCTCCTCGCGCCAGGCTCGGGAGGCGAGCGCCAACCCCAAACACAGGCCAGACTCCCCCTTGGTTAAAATGAACGCAAACCAGATTGTTGTCGCTGAGCAGCAGCAGCAGCAGCAGCCTCATTTCAGAACCGCAAGTGTAGAAGCAAAGAAAGGTACGTAATAATACGACCCCCCCCCCCCCCAAAAAAAAAAATATATATATAACCAATTAGAAAATTAATAAAATCTGGTGTTGGATTTTGAGATTGCATTTTTCTTGGACGCGGAAGTAAAAATGTGTCACTTGTTTGCAATGCAAATCAACTGGTTTTCTTTTAGTCACTTTCACGTGTCTTAGATGTCAACCCACGGGATGCAAAAAACAAAGAAAAAACACTTCTTTCAGGCGGGCGTGCACGAGACTCGAGTGTCATTAGTTTACACATTAGCTTACACTCTTAGCGGATTATCACTTGTTTTAAAATGACGATTGTAAGACTAAGCATAAGACTTCGTGACTTCTTGCAATGGATTAATCCGCACCATCAAATCGAGTGAACACAGGCTTATATTTCGTGATAAACGCAGTGCATTTTCTGGAATAATCCATGCATAATGATTTCAATCCATATTTTCAATGGTTCATGTATTTTTATCGGCAAGTGAATCATTAAGCGTCGCAGAAGAAAGCAGTACAGATGGAGACATTAACATAAACCCGTGGAAAGACATGCCTCCAATCAGCCTAACCACACGCACCGACGCTCACGCACGCACGTGCACACACATTCAGTCAGTTTGTGATTCAAATAAGTGAAGACATGTTGCCATACCTTTGACCAGTCCGACGTGTGTGCGTGTGTGTGCACCCGCACAGCAGGCCCCAGACTTTAATAATAATCACAGTTTGCATTCAACGAGCAACTTTGCATATTCCAATGTCACGTGTGGGTACACTCTTTTTTTTTTTTACTCCAGTAATTAGGCATTGGGGATTTCAATAAGCACTTGCAGTATTGATATGTTATGGGCAGAGCCGCCCTGAGATCATTGTGTGTTTCCTGGGGTTGTGCAGCGAGTCGATCGTGTGGGATTTATGTTTCCACGCTCTGCAGGTAGGTGTCACAATTGCTTTGACTACAAAGAGAATAAAGACACCACCTTTTGGCCCCACGTTTTAACCCCTATAACTTCCACTTGATACCGGATCTGGTGGCACCACGGAGTGGAATTGAAAGCTGCTCCTCAGCGCCACGAGGGCGGAGACACTCACTACATCACGTTTGTGCGACTATTGCTTGTGTATTATTTCATTTTGGACGCATTGTGGATAATCATTACATAATTATGTGGGTTTGAAAAAAAAAATCTCCCTTTATATGTGATTAACATGTTATTTCTCAGGTTCCTGTTGTTTGCTTTTTTTGCCACGGTATATTATTTCAATGAATATTCACGTGTGAAACCATATTTGTAAAAGGAGGAGTCTTGGGACGCAAAGCGAACGGGACTGAGGTGAACTTGAGGACTTCAAAGTGGAAAAGCCTACATTTGATATTTATTTTTTTAAGTGATGGCGAAATGATAAGTGTAATTTCTGCAAGTTGTATTGCAGAAATGGGAAGCTGACATCGTCTGTTTGTTTGTAAATATATAAACATATATATTATGGACAGGTTTTATTTTAGACGCGTTTGGGAAGAAGCTACACAATCTTGTTACCAGGAGGACTTTTACTAATTTATATCTTTGAATGTAAATGAAATAAAACGCGCTGGTATCGATGTACTGGTGCGGTATGATATCCATTATTCAAAGGAGAAAATATTAAACTGTTTTCCCAACTATAATCTTGGGGAGTCATTATTTTATTCACAACAGATCTGTATTTAACACCCAGGCGTTTTTGCCATTTACTCCAGTCGTTTTTATTTTGTCAATCACACGCAGATGGGGAATTGCTGATGAATATCGCTTTTCATAAACATTATGACATTTTTCCACAGATTGCACAATATATATTCTTTCTAAATGGACTATGGCTTCCTTTCAGGGCCTCGTTATGGTCAGGGAATCTCCATCGGACACATATTCACGACCTTGATTGGGATAAACGACATACTTATTTCATTTCCCTCCCCCCTTTTCCCTCCCCCTCCCCCTGACACACATTTATTTTTCAGTGTGATTAATACTTCCGTGGGACGCATCGGGCATTACGGACTCCCAGCGGGTCCCATCCCTGGAGCTTTTTAGGCCGATTCAGGATGGGTCAGTCCTGCCTGCTTCATTACGACACGGCATTGAGCAATCCATAAAAGTCTATCTAAGCATCTGCCAGCTCCAATGGGCTGTGTGATGGGCCCTAATCGGACAGGCTTTCCTTGCTTTCCATCACGGCTTGGTTATTACAGCGGCTGTGGGACACAGCTAATTAAACAATTTATTTTACAAAGCTTAGATTTGATGAAATTCATTCATCATTATCATTGCTTTAATAATAATTAGTAGTAATAACCATTGTATTACAATACTACTAAACGTGTAATATACTAAAATCTCTTTTAGACATTATTTTATTTAAGTACAGTATTTTCACTGGTTTGTCCCCCCTCACTCGTGGCCTCGTAGAGTGTAAAAAAACTCAATGATCAAATACATAATATCCCATCCTCCGAGATGAGGCCTCTATCATCGCTCCCAGCCAGGCTAAAAGCTAATCCTTCATTTTCCAGTTGAATTTGAGCGTTTGAGCGAGAGTTGGTTCACCTTGGTTTTCCGCCCACCTCCTTTCCGAGTCGCCTCATCCAGGGACGTTGGGCCATCAGGGATGTGTTGGACGATAAAACCAAACTGAGTTAACCCAACGTTTACGCTGACAGAAGTCTTTGTGACATGAACGCATGGTTTGACATGAATGGTGTCACATTTACAGCGGTGTTGTCAAAGTCAAAAAAGAAAACCGTTTCCTGTTTTGTTGGACGTTCTTCTTTTGATCAACATTGCCTGGCACCGCGTGTTGCACCTATACCTTCTTATTTAACTTATACTTCACTTGCTGGCACCAATGGAAGTCATGCACACTACAGCCTCTGGCGTAGAGCGCTTTCTTTCTTCAGCCCAAACACTTTCATTATGGGTTGATTTATTGAAATGCATGCTCTATTCTCAGGTGGGTTCCCCCAGGGACTCGGCACTGTTGTCAAATAGCACCAGAGGCACTCTCCAAAGCACACAGAGGCCCTGCCTCCCTCTCCCTTTCTCTCCCTCCCTCCCATCCTTCAACTGCTGCTGCACCCTCCAAATGTCAACATTTGTTCTCAATAAAAAGAGTTATTGTTTCTGTTAAAAGAAATTGCTCAGCAACCGGTTCGGCTTTGAACTCATGAAAAGAAACGTCCACCCCACCTCTTTGTTTGATTGGGAGCAATGGTAGGTGAAAATGGGAGCGAGGCGTCCGTTGCACATGACAAGCCTCAAGCTGTGAAGCCGTTATTAAGCGATTGTGAATTTATGCCACAATTAGTCACAATCGCGCTAAAGCATTACGGCCCCTTTTGAACAACACGCTCTTTGCCCCACATTCTTTCAACTGTGAGCGGAAGGAACCAGGGTGCCCTTATTGGTCTAGATATTGATCCTCAAGGGCAAAACAGGTAATTCACTGTTTTGCCAAGTTTACTGAGTAAGGCCGAGCTTAAGCCTATATGCTCGAGAGCTAGGGGACAATTCAAATCTATCAAGATATTCTTTCGTTTCATGCATTGCATGTCAAATGCAGTCATAATCCTACAACATAGTTCACCAAAGAGGGTGTGTTCATCCATGCTAAGTACTAGTTGTCATTGCGAGATAAAATGATGATATCTTGGGGCTCATAGGCTTCATGTGAGTGTAGAATGGAGAGCAAGTGGACTCGTTCCTCTTATCGTTGATCAAATAAGCAGCTCGTATATGCAGATAATTCATGAGCTCTTTGTATCCTTTATCCTCCCATCAACCCTTTCTCCTACAAAATGCTTCAGACATTAATCTCTGACGCACACCTGTGCGTCGCTCCAACAGGCAGTTAATGCAGCTGACGTTTTATTATAGCATTGGAGGGATTATCATATTCTGCAAACAGCAATTGTAGCAGTTAATCGGGTGGGACGTTAAGTTAGACCTGTAGGATTTGATGGATTTGCTACGTATGCCAATACAAAGGAAACATATCCTCCATTATTGAACAAGCAGAAATAATTAGCCCTCTTCCTAATTATAATGATTTAATTCGGAAACAAAGTTAATGAAGAGAGAAAAGGTTTTGAAGGGTTCCAGGACGCCACAGGACGTTGTTATCCAGTTGAGATTTAAATACATGAACTTTGCATTAAAAAGTATAAAACAATATCAGCAACGGTTGCAAGTACTTTATTGCGCATTTGTAGTCTTTTATAATGTAGAACAGTATGACAAGAACTTCACCCTTTGAACTTTTTTTTTTTTTTAATTCCACCCTTATCAATCTTCTTGCTTGAATCTTACTTGAAGCCCATTAAGACCTAGCTATAAATACTTTTCAGCCTTAACACGAAGTAGCACTGATATTCAGTGGCCAGTGAGGGCCGTAAAAGAGAGCGGCGCACAAATCAGGTACAGGTGTGTTTAATAACGCACATCAAAGTGAACAGGGACTTTAAAAAATGAGTCCAGGGTCCTGTCCTCTCGTAAAGGTGTCAGGTGAAATGTTCGCTGCTCTGGATGATCAAGGGCAGTAAGCTGGGCAGGACTTTGACACGCGTGCACGCAGACAAACCGATCCTCACAGGCATGTCGCTCCCTACAGTACACCCACACGCTCTCAGACTGGGAGACGCTAACGCGTGTCCACACAGCGGCCCAAACAAGGCCATTAGGAGGCCTGGCTTCAACTCCTAATTGACAGTTATGTTTAATGCCTGTGTTGAGTAAACACTTCGGCGTAGTAGAACAAACGTTTGCCTTTAAATTAAGCAAAAACCTGGAAGCCGGTGTTTGAAACGGAGGGGGTTGGGGGGTTGGATGAAGGTGAACACAAAATGTGAGGCACGAAATCCATTCGATTTGTTTGTGAGAGAAACTTTCTGTTGCACTTGTGGAGTAGTGACTTGTTTGCTGAGACAAATATAACACAGCAGACACAATCACTTTGATGTTATGCAGTTTAA